GGCTGGAACTGAGCATGCCTCCTCTAAACTCCCCAGACACTGCAACCCAGTACTCCTTCGCTATAGACAAGAGCCTTCCTACTTCATCTCCATAACAATAGCTAGCATTTCTAGAGTGTTTTCAAGTTTGCCAAGTCCTTCCCATGTTACCTCATTTGTGGGGGTTGGGGGAGGATGCTAACTCCTCAGAAGACCATCAGCCATGGGCCAAGTGAGGCAGAGGATCGCCTCTTCAGAGCTGAGGCACTTCAGAAACCTTCCAGTCCAATCCTGTCCTTTTACAGATGAAGAAACTTGAGCTCAGAAAGAAATCGTGAGCCCTCATCTTCAATTCCCCCTGGCAGGCAGGAGCAGAGCCTGGGTCTGTACCCAAGCCTTCTGACCTCACTGCACCACACTGTTTTTCACTATCCACAAATACTGAAGCCTCTAGGGTTTTAGGACAAACTCTGGGAACTTCCTCCTGTCTGTGCCCTAGTAGATAAGTTCTGGGGAGGTAGCTGCCTGAATCTCAGAGAGGCTCAGTGACTTGCCCTGGGCAACACAGCTGGTAAGGGTCAGAGGCAAGATCTGAACCCACACCTTTCTGACTTTAAACTCAGGACCCAACCCACCTCATCAATCTACCTCTAGGGCATAGACCTCATTTTATTATTTAGCTTTTCTTGTGGTCATTCCATGTTTGTTCAACTTGAGAACAGGGATTATTTCCCAGTCCTCCACTAGCCTAGCAACCATCCTAACTACTGATTACTGATGGGGACCTTTTAATACTAACCTTTTGCACCTGACAGTAATTTACAGAGGCAGGATGATGGAGACAGCACTGGATGCGGATGGAAGTAGGAGCCCTGAGTTAGTGTCTCACTGCCCAATAATTACAAATGCAGGATTTAGGTCTGGAAGGAATCTTAGAAGTCATCTAACCCAAGCCCACCCCATTTTACAAATGGGGAAACTGAGGACCAGAAAGCCAAAATGATTTGGCTTCAAGTCAACTCAGATTCAAAGGCAGATCTTCTAATAATAGGTGCAAGTGTTCTTTCCAGTACCTTAGTGGTTCCCAACCTTTTGACAACTAGGTGGGGCAGTGGATAAAATGACGGACCTAGAGTCAGGAAGACTCAGTTCCATCCACCCCCAGACGCTGACAGTGTGACCCTGGGCAAATCACTGAACCTCTATTTGCCTCAGTTTTCTTATCCAAAAAATGGGGGTAATAATATCACCAACCTCCCAGGATTGTTGTGAGGGTCCAGTGAGGTAGCAATTAAGAGCTTAGCACAGTTCCTTGCACATAAGCTCTATATAAATGTGAGCTAGTATTATTTTTTAATATGAGGGCTCCCTGCCAATAAAAAAAGACCCTCACATAAAAGGTACCTATATTACTAATATCTGTTGACTGAGAAAAAGGGCTTACAGAATGATTTACATATACTATCTCTACATAAAGGATTTCCCAAGTCTCATTGAAGTTTTAAGCTTTAATTGCTTAAACCTTTAATTTAACTGCTTAAAATTTCACTAAGACTTTTGAGATACTACATATACCATGTTGTAGTCTTAATATGCACTCACTTTCTTTTTTATTCTTTTTTCAAAATTTTTTAACATTTATCTTTAGTTTTGAGTTCCAAATTCTATCCTTCCCTCCTCCCTCCCTGACTTCCCCCTCCCCGAGGTGGTAAGCCATCTGATATAGGTTATCCATGTACATTTATGTAAAACATTTTGTACAAGAAGACACAAATAAAAGCAAAAATGAAGGAAAGAAAGTGAAAATAACATGCGTCAGTCTGTATTCACTCAATATCATTTCTTTCTCTGGAGGCGGATAGTATGCTTCATCATTAGCCCTTTGGGATTGTCTTAGATCATTGTATTGCTGAGAACAGCTAAGTCATTCACAATTCTTCACTGATAATATTGCTGTTACATTGTACAATGTTCTCCTGGTTCTGCTCACTTCACTCAGCACCAGTTCATGTAAGTCTTTCCAGGTTTTTCTGAAATCACCCTGCTTGTCATTTCTTTTAGCACAGTAATATTCCATTATGATCATATACCACAGCTTGTCTAGCCATTCCCCAATTGATGGGTATCCCTTTGCTTTCCAATTCTTAGCCACCTCAAAAAGAGCTGTTATAGGGGGCAGCTAGGTGGCTCAGTGGATAGAGGTCTGGCCTTGGAGTCAGGAGGACCTGAGTTCAAATTTGACCTCAGACACTTGACACTTACTAGCTGTGTGACCCTGGGCAAGTCACTTAACCCCACTGCCTAGGCAAAAAAAAAAGAGCTGTTATAAATATTTTTATACAAATAGGTCCTTTTCCCTTTTTTGGATGTCTTTGGGATGTAGACCTAGCAGTGGTATTGCTGGATCAAAGGGTATGCACAGTTTTATAGTCCTTTAAATATAGCTCCAAATTGCTATCTAGAATGGTTAGATTAGTTCACAATTCCACCAACAGTGCATTAGTGTCCCCGTTTTCCCACATCTCCTCCAACATCCACCATTTTCCCTTTTTGTCATATTAGCCAATCTGATAGGTGTGAAATGGTACCTCAGAACTGTTTTAATTTGCATTTCTCAAATCAATAGTGATTTAGAGCATTTTTCATAAGACTATAGATAGCTTCAGCTTCTTGGTCTGAAAACTGCCTGTTCGTATCTTTTGACCATTTATCAATTAAGGAATGACTTGTCTTTTCTATAAATTTGACTCAATTTTCTACACATTTGAGAAATGAGTCCTTTATCAGAGATACTTGTTGCAAAATTTTCCCCGTTTTTTGCTTTTCTTGTCATTTTGATCGCATTTGGTTTTGTTTGTAAAAAAAAAAACTTTAATTTTTTATCATCAAAATTATCTGTTTTACATTTTATAATGCTCTCTGTATATTCTTTGGTCCTAAAATTTTCCCTTATCCATAAGTCTGACAGATAAACTATTCTATGCTCTCTTAATTTGCTTATGGTATCACCATTTATGTGTAAATCATGTACCCATTTTGATCTTATCTTGGTATATAGTGTGAGATGTTGGTCTATACCTAGTTTCTGCCATACTGTTTTCTAGTTTTCCCAGCAGTTTTTGTCAAATAATGAGTTTTTGTTCCAAAAGCTTAGATCTTTGGGTTTATCATATACTAGATTACTATGGGCATTTACTATAATGTAATTTGTACCTAATCTATTTCACTGATCCACCATTCTATTTCTTAGCCAGTACCAGATTGTTTTGATAATTACCACTTTATAATACAGTTTGAAATGTGGTATGGCTAGACCATCTTCTTTCACATTTTTTTATTGATTCCCTTGATATCCTTGAGCTTTTCACCTTGTATACTATTGAGGGGAAGGGTTGCTTAGTGGATAAAGACAGCTGACTTTAGAGCCAGAAGACCTGGGTTTAATTCAGCCCTGCCTCTGGCACATACTAAAGTGTGATCCTAGGCAAGTCACTTAACCCCTAAGTGCTTCAGGTAAAATACTAAGACTATAAGCTGCACTGGTATAAGGAATTCCTTCTCCTGGGAGTTCCCTCTGCTAATGAAATCACAGGCACAGTCTCCATTCCTTAATATACTATGGCCCCGAGGATGTCTTTGCCACAACCTCTCTCATGCAGATCTTCATGGGTAACATGCTATAGCCCTCTCCAACCCACCAGGTCTGCTTCCATTGACCATTGGCCTCTGGACAAGGAGATGCGCCAGTCACATGTGGATTGAGAGGGAAGGGTTTTAACATGGGGAGGCCAAAGGCTGCAATACTATCAGAGGAATAAGGTCCACCACATGTAGTAGAGATCATCCGAGGAAGATTCATGGTGCACTGGATGGGAAATGAAAGCATCTGGGTTCAAATTCCAGCTCTGATTTTTAGTACCATGTGACCTTGAGCCAGTGACTAACCTCTCTGGGCCTCAGTTTCCCTATCTGCAAAAGGAGGTGCTAGACAAGATGATGTCTGAGGTGTCTTCCCACTCTTGATCTGTGATTCCAGGAAGATTGTTAGACTCCAGCATGATTTCCCAGGGCTGGTTATTTGGTCTGAGGTTGTCCAGAGCTGGGAAAGGCCCAATAAGGATGTCCTCTTATTTCTAAAGAGAAAGCCAGAATGACCCATTTCCATCAGGAAATGCCACTGGGGTGCCATAGTGCACAGACAGATGGGCCTGAAGTCAGGAAGACCCAAGTTCAAGTCCATCCTCAGACACTTCCTAGCTGTGTGACCCTGGGCAGGTCGCTCAACCGCTGCTTGCCTCAGTTTCTTGAACTGCAAAATTGGGATAGCAATAGCACCTGCCTCTCAGGGATGTTGTGAGAATTAAATGAGATCATATTTGTGAAGCACTTAGCACAGTGCCTGGTCCACAGTAGGTACTCTATAAATGCTTATTCCCTTCCCCATTCAATCTAACAAACATTTATTAAGGGCCTTCTATGTCTCTGGGACCTGACTAGGTATTGAGGATACAAAGACACTAGTGAAACAGTCTCTGTCCTCAAGGAGCTGACATGAGTGGGGAGGAGAAGGAGGAAGAAATAATGTGCACACAAGTAAATAAATTCGAATTAGATACATAGCAATTTCAAGAGGAAGAATATTACTAATGAAGGGGGAAATCAGGGAAGGCTTCATGTAAGAGGTGGCACCTAGGCTGTGCTCAGAAGGAAGTTAGGGATTCAGAGAGACAGAAATGAGACAGGAGGGCTTTCTTTTCATGGGCAGGCACATGCATAGGCATGGGGATGGCAGATGGGATGCTGGATACGGACAATAGCAGCTAGCTGGCCAGCTAAAAAAACTATAGAATAATTCACCCTTTCATGTACAGTCCTCCTTTTCTGTTGTTTGCATAGTGAAATGTGCATATTTGTTGATTTTTTGTTTACTTCCTATGAGGAAAAAGAAAACTGATATTTCATAAAAATATATAGTTACTAAAATCATGCTTACATGTTTTTGTGATATTTTCCACCTACAGACACATTTGTGAAGAAATGTGACAGAGCAGATCCAAAGCCCAACTTCAAGTCCAGCCTTTGAGATATACTAGTTGTGAGTCTGTGGGTAAGTCATTTAATTTCCCAGGGCTCCTAACATGCTCCATTATAATAATAGTAAGGTTTGCAAAGCACTTTACATGTATTATCTCATTAAATCAAATAACTGATCTGGACTCTCCGTAAAAGCACAAATTTACATTTGCAGCTAAAACAATACCTGACCAAGAACATCTGGATATTAGGATAACAATAAATATAATAAAAATATTATATTTATATATTATAATACATAAATATAATTATAATAAATAATATAATAAAAATAAAAATAATTTGCATCCCCTTCACCCCTACCCCGAAGCTCCAATTGCTACATAGAATCATGGGCTTCATTCTCATCCCATTCCTGTGAAGTATATAGAGGTGGGATTCACAACTTAAGTTGCAAAGGATGGGACTGGTTCAGGAATACATCAGGTCCATTACTGATAATTTACTGACACTTTGAACTCAGCCATCCCCAGTGAAAAGTAACCACGGCTGAACTTTGCCATCATTCACAGTAACAAAGGAGGTGCCCACCAGGCTCCTACCCACCATCTGTAACAGCGCCAAGGACAGAACCCTTCCCGATCTCTGTGATGGCCACCCAATGAATGTCTCTATTCTTTTACAGAGACAACATGGCACAGTTATCAGCTGAATTGTAGAACTAGGTTCAAACCCCACCACTGACACCTAGAACAGAGGCGGGGGAGGAGAGAGACAAAGGCACCTTGTGCAGCTTCCCGTTGGCCTCCATCCCCCTCAACCAAAACAGGAAAAATGCTGCCCAATGCACCTTGTTAATCCGAGCTCGCTCAAATAAATGTGAAGCGAAAAGGCTGGCTGGGCTAGCTAGCCCTGAGGTCCCCTTCAGCTCCTGACCTGGAAAGTCCGAGGATTTGGAAACCTCCAATTAGTTTCTCCAACCTAGCAACCGAAACATGAAGCCGAACTCTGAAAGCTGACCTTTAAATTCTAAAAGTAGCTTTCTTTGTAAAAATGTTAGTCAAATCCTTTTCTCCACGTACCTCCGCGGGTCTTAAATTAATGTTTGGACCCGGGAGCCGTGAGGCTTGTACGTTTTACCTATTTGTTTTCTACTTACGGCATGCAGGTAAATAGTGAATGTCCCACACATTTGTTTCCTATTTCCCTTCATCCTCCATTCCGAAGTTGGAAGGAATGAAATGTGCCCTCTTTTGCTAAATATATTAAAATGATTAAAACTCAACTAAGAAAATGCCGCTGAACTTTCTTTACTAACAAATGCCGTAACCTACACTAATGAGTCGACTGGGTTAAGAATTTTCTTCACTTAGCATTTCTCATTATTAATAAATTTTTGCGGTGACAACTGTAAAGTGAACACTTTGGATTTATGCACCTAACCTAATTACATATGCGGCATGTACGCATTCCATTATTTACTTGACAGATTCATTCCTTGATATCATAAATAATTAAGCAAGAATCAAATATTAACAATCAGATACATGTTAATTCTCAAATCTGAGGAAACAAACTATTTTTTTAATCCCCAGTTCAACAAGGACTGATTAAAATTTTTTCATTAGAAGTATTTTATAAGCAAAGTTCTTGATCTACTTTTCTTACTTTCAATGAAAATTAGAGGTGGAACCAATTATTCCTGAATTGTTTTATGGGGAAAATATGTATAATGATATCTCTAACCATCAGTTGGCCTGGGAATCTTTCTCTAACACTGCCTTCTCTTATAAATGAAACATTAGTTTGTATGCTTATTAGGCAATTTCAATCTGGTTTCCATTAAGAGCTACTATCAGGCACCATATTGGTTTCAGGAAATATGTAGTAACCAATTTCATCTCTCTAGAGCTGGAAGGAAACTCTGAGTCCACGGAGTCCAATCCTCCTCATTTCACAGTCAAGGAAACTGAAGCCCCAGCCACACAGGTATTGCTAAAGGCAGGATCTGAAGCCTGGTCCTTTAACACCAGAAGCATGGTGATTTGGAGCCAGAACTCCAGAAGCATTTAAACTCCAGAACCATGGTACCTTGGAAAAGACCAACCTTTATATAATAATTTCTCACCAAAGTTTTTTAAGACTGTGGCTCTCTATATAATAAGATTTGTAGTCTCATATACAATCCTCTCTTTTTCTACTCTCTGTAAATATACACAGAGACAATATATAGGGAAATATTTGTTTCATTTTGTGTTTGTTAAGTTCAGAATGTAAATAATAAAATGGAAAAAAAGTGGGAGGAAAAGACTTTGTGGTTCCCAACAGTCACCTGAATTTATCTAGGACTGAAACTTCTCCTCAGTAAACCAAGCTACTATATCCACTTAACAATCATTTTTGTGAGCGCTGCTTAAATGGTTTTTTATTCATGATACATCAGCATCCTCACTGATCAAACCAGTCTCACAGTTCACCAAATTTGCTTTTGTAGAGTACATCATACACTTTCATCATTTTAAAAATATTAAAGATTCATTAATAGCCATGTTATTCATAACGTAAAATTAATGCCAGACTGACAGGTTTTGCGAAGGTCTAATTCCCCCCCCCAAGTACATATACCATATCAATGTAGAACATACCCCTGATGGTAAATATTGATTATTTCCTTCCCTTCTCTTCTAATGCTAAATACAGAGCATTATGACATGACTGTCAGGGTTAGGAAGCCTCTGACCTACATATGTCATAATAATCATGTAAGAGATTGTTTGAAATATATCTTTGCAAAATAAACCGAGCCTCTACAGCACTGCCCCAGGTGGCCTGGCTTCAGCATTTACAAACACAGACACCCTGGCTTTTCAAGTTCCAATATAGAAAAGCACAGAGGGAGACACACCCACAAGCCCTCCAAGTTTGGGACGTAACAATGAAGAGAGGTGCTGTGAAAAGTTCTCCAAAGCAGCCAGTCATCCCTCTTCAGCCCGTACTTTTTTTTTTAAGTTTAGTGATGTCTTTTGTTTTTAAATATAGCAAGCTTTTATAGAGGGTGTCCCAAAAGTCTTAGTGCCGTCCTAAGCTTTTCAATCTTTTGGCACAGTCAAGGTTTGCCAAGCATTTTACGTGAGTTGCCTCATTGCATCTTCACCACAATCCTGGGAGAAAGGGGCTGGTATTTAGCCCCATTTTGCCTCAGTTCCCTCAACTGTAAAATGAGCTGTAGAAGGAAATGGCAAAATCACTCTGGTATCTGTCAAGACAACCCCGATGATACACATAATCATGATCACAAAGGGTCAGACACAACTGAACTACAGCGGAGGAGGAGGAGGAGGCGGCTCAGAAAGGTCAAGTAAATTGCTCAGAGACACACAGCTAGTCAGGGTCTGAGAGTAGATTCGAACTCAGTCCTTTGTGACTCCAAGTCCAGTGAGACCATTCTGCACAATATGCTATCTTGCTACTTCCTTCACATTCATTTCCAAATACGTCCCTCCCCCCTTCCCCTCCCCTCTCCAGGAAGCCTTCCTTTGATAGAAACATTAACCAAAAAGAGAAAAACAGGTCTTAAGCAAAACAGCCAGCACATCTGACAGTGTATGTGACATTTCACACCCATAGGCCCCCACCTCTCCAATAAAGGAGGGAAGTTCATCACCTCACTTCTTCCCCGGAGGCCAGCTTGGTCATTATAGTTATACAGCCTTCAGTTTTATCGATTTTGCTAAAGATTTATCATTTTATTGTTTTTCTGTTAACATCATTGTAGCCAATGGGGTTACATTTTTCCCAAGTTCTGCTTACTACATCAGGCATCAGTCCATATCATTCCTCCCATGCTTCCCAGAATTCCTCAGTTACCATTTCTTACAGCACAATACAATCTTATCACATCCAGCTGTTCATCTCAAGCTAGGTGGCACCGTAGTGCACAAAGCACTGGACCTGGAGTCAACAAGACCTGAGTTCAAATCCACCCTCAGACACTTACCAGTTTTATGACCCTGGGAAAGTCATTTCACCTCTGTCTGCCTCAGTTTCCTCAATTGTAAAATGGAAATCATAATAACACCTATCTCCCAGGGTTGTAGTGAAGAACGAAATAATATTGGTAAAGCCCATGAAAAATATTTGTTCCTTCTTGAGCCATTCCTCAGTTGTTCCTGTTCTATGAATACTTTTCTGTCCTTCTGTCCTGGGACCTTTGCCTTTCATGAGGTATATGCCTATCAGTTTACCCCATTCTATCTACAGCATCAGGTTTTCTCTTTAAACTCTTTACAGTCATACATATTCTATAAATTAATGGGAGCAAATGCAGACATTCTAGAAATGAGAAAGCCCTTCATCTCTTCAACCCTCTTAATCCCTTCATTCTCACCATCAGCCCTATTGGACAAAGATAAATCATGGACCTACTCACAATACAAATATGGCAGCATCTCTTTCATCCTGAAGATGGATGGTGCTTCTGAACACTTCTGGGAGGGCATAACTACTTATCTCCTGAACGAAACCTTCAAAAATATGCAACCTAAAAATATGAAAAAAAAATATGTTCACATTTCAGAAAGAATATATATGTGTAGAATAATAAAACTGACATTTCTGTAGCACTCTTGGGGTTGCCAAAGCATTTGACGCACATTATCTCTTTTTGAGCCTCTCAACGACATAGGGAGGAAAGGGCTGCTGCTATCTCCACTTTATAGATATGGAAACTGGGTGTCAGAAAGGTGCTAGCATGTTTCTGACAGAGCATTAGACCCCAGGCTTTCCTGACCCCATGTCCAGTGTGCTGTCTGCTATTAACTTCAGGACTTCCAGCTACACAGAGGCATAGGTTTTGGCCAAAACCAACTAACACCCTGAGTTATGCCCAAAGCCGCACCTGTTTAAGAACTGGCATTCATCTCAAATATGTCTCATTCTGCAGCCTGCCTTCAAGGGCTACCATGAGGTGAACCCCCATTTTTATACCCCCCTAATCCCTTCACCATCAGTCCCAACCCTACTGGACAGAGAAAAATAACTGAGCCCATGTGACATATAAACAGAGAACTTCCTAGAGTTTTTCACAAGGCACAGATTTTTCTGTTGTTAGTTAAGGGACTCGCATGTCTCTTGGTGTGTCTTAGCTGATATGAGTCTCCCTTTACTTGTAATAAATACTCACAATGTGCCTAAAATAACTGGGTTACAAAATTCATTCAAACCATTCTGAATCTGAAAATGGATCTGCTCAGCGAGCCAATGACAGAGGCTAAGTGGGCCTGCAGCCCCCCTGCCCACTGGCTCACTCCACCCTGCCCTTCTTACACTGGGAGGATGCTCAGGCCAGCCTTGTCTTCATTCACCTTCTGGCTGCACGCCTAACTTCTTCTCTACCTTCATGCCCCTTCCCTTCCCCCACTTTCCCCCTTCCTCTTTGTGTGCCATCTTCTTCTCCTTAGCTCCCTGAGGCAGGGTCTCTCCTTCTTTCTGTTGTATTTGTATTCCTAGCACTTGGTTCTATGCCTGGCACATAGTAGGCGCTGTAATAAATACTTACTAACTTCATTTAAGCAGTTCTCTCCACTCACTTTTGTAGGTCAGTAAGCAGGGTGGCTCCTCCAAATAGATCCCATGTGGCCGTGCCCAAGAGCCAGAACCAACCAGTTCTTGGCACAGCCCCAATCAGGGGGTGTCTTTTGTCCTCTTAACAAGGTGTCGATGACCAACCCAAAGCCCCAGATTGACTTACGTCAAGAAATTGATCAGGGAACTGTCCTGAACATGCCCCTCTTAGAAGAGAGTCACAAAGTTAGAGCTGGAAAGGAGCTCAGAGAGCATACCGTCCAGAGGCCTCATTTTACAGATGGGTAACCTGAGGCTCAGAGGAGTGTAGTAATTGTCCAAGGTCACATAGGTAGTAGTAAGTTAGTCAGTCAACAAGCATTTATTAAGCACTTCCTATATACCAGACACTGTGCTAAAGGCTGGATACAGAAAGGCAAAAATACAGTGCCTGCCCTCCTTAAAGGGAAACAAGGGAGACATACAAGATACATGCTAGAGAATGATGGAAATCATCTCGGAGGGAAGGCACTACCTGAGTCAAGGAGACCAGTCAGAAGCCTAATTGGTTAGAGGCAGAACCAAGAGGCAAGAAGCCAGCTCCTCGGTTCTCTTTCCATTGCCCCATCCTACCTTCTAATTAAATGACTAAAGAACGTTTCTTTGAAACCACCATTTTGAAAGCTTTCAAGATGGAGGTTATGATGACAGGTGCTCTCTATCTTTGGTCAGCTTCAGGGGAATCTGAAAATGAATTGCCTACCATGGACCATAACCTAAGATGGACTTATTTCAATGAAGGGAAACCTGATTCTGCTGAGTTCCTCATTCGTCTAGAGCAGCCAGGACATTCGACTCTGGAAACTAGTTAATGGTTCATAACATTTCAGCAATGAAGATATTCTAGAATGACCTAAAGCAGCACAAAGAGGCCCTTGTCAGAAGTCTGTACCCGAGAGAGTTGATGCAGAGACAAAGAGATGGGATATCATCAGCTCTCTCCTAGGAAGGACTTTGGGTAGCTAGCTCTTAAGATGCTCAACCTCTCCCTGGAAAGTGACAGCAGCCAGACCTCGGTGAGGTCTTATAAAAAATTCTTATCCCAAGACACAAAGTCTGGTAGCAGAGACAGATGTCAGCACCCTAATAGCTGGTCCTTTTTAGGAGGGAGGAACGCATGGGAGACGAGAAGATCAGGATTGTCACCAGGCAGTTGCCAGATTTCTAGCCATCCTGCGCAGTGGGCACCTGACAGTAGGAAATGAGTCAGAGGTGGGGACCAGAGGTGGCCCAGGGTCCAATAGATACCTCAAATGGCACTTAGCAGGAAGCCAAACAAGAATAAGATGGCACAGGAGAAATATTTCATACTCACTTTGCAATACTGTCTACCTGCAACCAAAGCTCACACCTCCCAGCTTTTCATCTCTGTAGAGGACAATTCAAATACCAAATTATTCATAACAGCACTTTTTGGGATAGCAAAAACAAAGGAAAAAAGGTGAGGACCAACAATTAGAGAATGACTAAACCAATTGCAATAAATGAACATAAAGGTATGTCATTGCCATGTAAGAAAGGACAGATATGAGGAATTTAGAGTAGTATGGGAAGATTTATATGAACTGATACAGAGCAAAGTAAATACAACCAAGAGAATAATATAAT